ACACATTATATACGCACACATACATGCACATACATACTCATTATATACATACATATTATATATACAATCACATACATATTATTTATTTATATATATATATATATATATATATATATATATATATATATATATATATATATATATATATATATATATACACACACATACACATTATATGTATAGACACATACAAATATAGACATTATATATACATATTGTTGTAATGGAATGCCCCACACTCACTATCACCTAATGTGGACTGACTATATCAGTAGATATATATAGTGTGCACAGGACATACCTGGTGAACTTGCTTCGGGAATTATTAACTTGTTAACCAATTCCCTGTCTTTCAGTAGCGTATTCTCTTTTACAATAAACCTCTCTTTCTTTCATCTATGCACGCATTACTGTTCCTTTTATTCGAGTACCACCTTTGTCTGACCTTCTTTAAGGATGCAACACATACACATATATATATATATATATCTATCTATATCTATATATATATATATAAACATTAAATATAGCAATGAATGTCTATTATGTCTGATCATGAACAGTTCTAATATTCAGATGTCTGCTTTAATTAAATAAATCAAAAATTGTACAACAAATATATATATATATATATATATATATATATATATATATATATATATAAGTGTGTGTGTGTGTGTATATATATATATATATATATATATATATATATATATAGAGAGAGAGAGAGAGAGGTGTATGTTCAAACTAGTCACAAAACATTACATTGCATCTAGACATATGGTTCTGTTGCTAATATTTCATGCTCTCATGTGGCATGACGTCTTAGAACTGCATCTTGAACTTACGACCTGCGTCTGCTATTCCACGACCATTATTGTTGCATAGCAATCTTCTATGTCAATGTAAAAAACATCTTCTATGGTGAATATCTTTGTTAAAATGTCTGTATAACCACTCTGAAGATGGCTCATGTGTGCCGAAAGCTTAGATCAATGACCAACTTAATAAAAAATACACAAACATTGGACAATTTTTGTTTTTATTTTCACCCATAATTAAAGCAAACATACAAGTGGCACATGATCAGACATAATAAACATTCATTGTCTGTTATATTTGTATGTGTGTGTGTGTGTGTGTGTATATATATATATATATATATATATATATATATATATATATATATATACACACCCTAGGTAAGTAATGGGTACAAATGGCCCCAAAAAAATATACATAGTGTGTACTGAGGGTAACTTTAAAAAGAGGTGGTATAGTCATAAGTCATCTTTCAATTTAGACAGGTTACGAAATTCTACTAAAGTAGCCAACCATGTGTGGAAATTAAAGGAGGAAAATAAAAAAAAAGATCCAATTGGAAAATGCAAAATCTAAAAAATAAAAAGCAAAACCTTACAACAATCATAGCAACATTTACAACCTTTGTCAACAAGAAAAATTAGTAATAATAACATTTTCTGATCCAAAGAAACTTTTGAATCAGAAATTATGACCTGGTGTATATATACAAAAAAGTTTTTTTTGAGTTCTTTTGAAGTGGGATGAAAAGAATGTATGGATATTTCATTTAATTCATCCACCGATACATTTCCAATACAGTTGATTTTCCTCTCCTCCTTACCTTCTACCACACCTCACGTCATGCACTTATTTATTTAAAATGTAGTGTTCATAAATTTTATTAAAAATAAAGCATTAGGAATCCAATTGACTGAATTGCATGAAGATAGAGAAAGCTTGAAACCACGGTAATGGAATTGTCTGATTTACTTATATATATATTCAAGCAGGTTTGTTTTAATAATTTAGACATGTTACACCTATTTAATTTGGTTTTGATCCTGTCAAGTCCATAGATTAATTTCTTGGTAGCTGTGGAAAATTGGTTAAGAAAAATACCAAAGTTTTCTTTCAAATAATTTTTATTTTCCCAAGTCATTTCAATCTCATCTAAGACTATCTTAAGGAGGTTAAATTGTCTGTGAATGTGTATATATATTTCTGTAAATTCAAAATCTTCTTGCTGTTCGTTTTACTGTGCTTAGCAGCATCTGATTTATATTCAAATTCATGTAGCTTGTTCTCAATGCAAGGGAGGTAACTTTTTTGACCTATTAATTATTTTATACATTCACAGCTAAAAACATTTAAGAACTTTGTTGCTATACACATAACTGACTTTATTTTTGGCTTTAATTCTCTGATATAAATGACTTCTAGGATTTAAAATTTTTGCTTCTTATTATTTTGATGTAATACAAATGTATTTTCAACTTATATCTGTCTAAACATTGAACTCTGGCATGAGTGTTCTTTTAAATGCTGTAAGACTGAACTATGTTCCACCAAGTGAAATGTAAGCCTTCATGTCAACATTGTCGTTTTTAAAACCAACATGCATATTAATATTCTTCTCAGAGATGGAATCTCCCAAAGGACATTTAAATTGATATACAATGTTGGCTTTTTCTAAGTTGATGGAGAAGAATTGTTTTTGACAATTAGTTTGGATGTATCAAATTAGTATAGTATATAATTAAATTTATGTTTTTACTTGGATTAGTGGGGGATATATTAATGTTTATGAGTTTTTTCAAAATTTTTTCCTACTGTTTATCATTGGAAAGCATTTGATTACAGTATAGTAATTTGGTAAGTCTAGAGTTATTTGATGATGTATTTTATTCATTTTTATTTATGTTTATATTACTAATAGCTCATCTAACTCATCAACAATGTAATTAGGAAAGTCATTGTTAATGAGGGCTTGTTTAATATTATTTAATTCAATATAGAAAATCTTTCTCGTTGAAAAATTTTTATTTTGCATGGTTTATTTAGTTTTGCATAATAGCTATTTTGTAATAGGACATTCACTTGTAGTTGAGTGTGCATGCTAGTTATTTTTTATTACATGGAGGGGTAGCAAATATATCATTGTTACTGTCTATCAATACATCAAGAAATGGGATATATATACATATAACTCAAGAAATACAAAAGTTGCCTCGTTTGCATGAAAAAAAAACTTGTGAATCTGAAATCAAAATAGAATGATAAAAAATGCAGTAAAATAGTAAAAATGTTTTGAATTTACAGAAATATGTATACACATACACAGACAATTTAACTCCCTGAAGATGGTCTCAGATGAAACTAAAAGTACTTGGGTAAAATAAAAGTTATTTGATAGAAAATTTTGGTATTTTTCTTAATCAATTTTTCTATGGCTACCAAGAAAGTGATTTGTAGACTTGAAAGGATTAAAACAAAAATAAACCGACATAGTATATCTAAATTATTTAACCAAAGCTGTTTGGATGAAAATATGCTGCCTAAATAAACAAATTTATATATATATATATATATATATATATATATATATATATATGAAAGAAAAATACAAAAAACAAACAAAAAATTATATATACAATTATGCTGTTTTAATGTTAATATGTCAACGTCGGACATTAAAACAGCATAATTGTATATAAGGATTTTGTTTGTTTTTTTCCGTATATTTTTCTTCATACTGTCGGATCTATATCCATATATTTGCTTGCATATATATATATATATATATATATATATATATATATATATATATATATATATATACACACACACACACACACACACACACACAGGGTGTCCCATAAATTTTGACATCATTTCACAGGCCAATAATTTTGGCAATTCTTGTTGAAATAACCTCAAATTTTCACAGAATGTATAGAACCAGTTCAAGATTTTATATTTAATGTTTTATTTTTGCTATCTCAATGAGAATCTGAAAGAGAGATGGATCGGGCATGGTGGAGATGAAGATAGTTTTCTGATGAAATGGTTGCCTTTGTCAGTCTTGTAATCCTTGTGTGATTTCTTTTTATGGGAATATGTGAAGGGACTGGTCTATGTCCCCACCTCTTCTTGTTAGCATTGATGAACTCAAGCAGGGAATCACTTCTGCACTGGATAATGTTACTGGAGACATGCTACAGCATGTTTCGCAAGAGGTTAGCTACTGACTTGACGTGTGCTGTGTAACAGGTGGTGCACATACTGAACAATTATGAAATTGGTCCCATAATAAACTTATGATGTTCAACACCTAAACTGTTCCACTTCATTAAGCTAGACTTTGTAATTTAAGATAATTGCTTTTAAAATGATGTCAAATTTTTGGGGAAACCCTGTGTGTGTGTATATATATATATATACAGTGTATGCCAAAATAATGTATACACTCTTTAAATATTAATAGTTAATAATACATTACCATGATGTGAGAAATTATATGGCTGAAAATATGCCAAACAGATGGATTGGAAGAAGAGGGACAGTTGAATACCCACCTAGATCACCAGATTTGACACCCTTGGATTTCTTTTAGTGGGGGTTTCTAAAAGACAAAGTTTACAGCAGGAAACCTGAAACAATTGCTGAAATGAGAGTAGCAATTGAAGAAGAATGTGCTCAAATACCAGAGGAAATGATACTAGACGTTTGTAGGTTTATTTCTTCAAGATATGAAAAGTGTATTGAAAAGAACGGCAACCATTTTGAGGAATTGATGTGAACTCATCATTATATATACATTCTGCCATTGCCCCAAGTAACTTTTATCTTATGAAAGTTAATTTTCTATGTTTTTTGTATATTTTACTCTCAAATTCTTTAAATGTGTATTCTTTCTCTTGTATTAATTTTATTTACAAATCAAAATACATAAATTGAAAAAGTTATAACGATTCAAAGAGTGTATACATTATTTTGGAACATGATGAGCTATCGTGGTGTCTGCAGGCATTCACACAATAGTAATTTCAAATCTTAATCATTTTGTAATCATTTTTTTTTTCAGACAATGGTAAAACATTTGCAATGAAACATTTAATAATGAATGTTGTTTGCAACTGATTTGTATAAAGAATTATTAGCAGGATTAAAAATTCTGTACTTGGCACAAAACTTACTGGATTGGATATTTCTCTCCTGGATCGACTGCAATATTAAACAGTAAGGGAAATGATGTGTGGTTCATCTGTTTGTGTGTGGTTACTCCAGGTACAGACTCACCTGGACAGAAGTCAACACCCTGGAGAGAGAGAAAGAGAGAAAAAAAAAAACATTTTTCTGAATTTAGTATTTAGCAACCAACAAACTACCAATTTTAACAATGTACCATTGTTGTGTGACTTTGATGCTGCAAACATGTGGTTGTCTAAGATTTCACAGTCACCAATACAGATTATAACAAAGATGATGCATCTCCATTTCTTGTCTTTGTTGTAATCTGTATTGGTGACTGTGAAATCTTCTGTGGTTGCTATTGTCATTTATTGCTAATGTAAGGAAAGGCACAACATACCCAGCTCTCTTTTCTATTTTTCATTAATAAACACAATGTTGAAAGTTCAATTGCATTTATTTAATAAAGTGGCAGATACAAATATCAATATCTATTAAATCTGACAGTGTCAATTACAGTTTTTCTCATGCTCCTCCTGAGAATGGTCTTAATATGAAAAATAGGGATGGCATTAATCCCTCCATTTCATTGGTGGATGGTATCCTCTTATCAAATAGTGATGCACACACTGAAAAGGTAACATAACATTAGGTACCTCCACTAATTCACAAATAATATTTGAGATGTAAGGTTTAAAATGAATTTTAAAAATTTAAAAAAAATTCTTGAAGCTTTCATTTTAACTACAGTTGAAAGCTAAAGGATTAAATTTACTATTTCCAGTAACCAAAATACTCTGTAGTGTATTTCAAACAGAAATTATATTGATTAGAGTATTTTTTGAGCTAAAAATAGCTGTTTAGTGCCTTTTTTTAGTTATCTATCATCACAATGTAATTTTCTTTATTAAAAGTTTTTCAAAAATAAAATATACTCTTTTGAAACTTTATTTGAAAAATAGCTGATTTAAAGTATAATTAATCTGATTTGAAACAAATATTATTTACTTTAAGTTGAAAATAACAGAGAGGATGTGACAATAGTCATGGGTGAGTGACATCAGTTCATAAAGTTTCAAAAGTCAGTTACTGTTTATTCTACCCTGAGGCAAGACATGTCTGCCCATGCCAGTTGATATATAGGCCATAAAAAAAATAGATATCACAAGCCCACAGTGACAAGGCATACAGAGAAAACCACTTGGTCTCAACTGAAACATAAAGGACACCACCAACCTGCACAATTTCCCATTGGGAAATATTGCAAGCAAGACTCTCTCTCTCTTTTTGCTCCTTTCACACTTCTTGTTGCATACATGTGTTATAGTTTCTCTCTGTGGGATAAATTAGTGATATGTATATATTTTTGAGAACCATGTTACTTTGTCATTCCCTTTTTTCAGCTATTTTGTTTTGTCAGTGTATTAAGGTGTTATATCACCAATATAGTAATACCTATAATGGAGAAATGCAAACAGGAAATATTCCTTTCTTGCATAGCATCCCATTAGGGTGTTTTATATTTAAAAAACAATTCAATACCTGGGTGTTATATTGTCACAAACTGATTTCAGTTACCTGTAATCAACTCCAGAAAGTAACCATACTTAGGTACAGAAATGATGACAGTCTGGATATATCACTGAGAAATTGTAATGTCCTTCCTATAAGTGAAAAGGTAAGTTCTTGACTTAATAAGGAAAAAGCAGAAATGGTATGTGAAAATCTATTGTAAAAATGAAACTTCTGCTACATAACTGATTACAGTATGCTGTTAGAAGATTCCATTTTATTATTGTTGTTTTTTAATCTCTTCCTGCCTGATTTATAAATTAAACTTTATCATAGCCATGTACACTATGTCATATATCATACAATGTTTTTGCAATAAAGTTAGTGTTAACCAATTTTGCAAGTTATATGAAAGTCAAAACAGTAGAAAAGTTAACAAAATTGTTTGATGAAAAACTGATGAAGGTTGCAGATAGTCAAGAGCTCAGAAATAATAATAATAGTAATAATAATCTATTTGAGGGTATGGGATATTGATTTAATCAAATATGTTTCTATGATCAATATCTTTTGGATTTATTTATAAATAAAAAACATCTATATTGCACTTGTTAGTATAATAAAACCTGAAAACCCCCAAATAGGTTATAATTTTAATAAGTATAGTTATAACAACAATAATTATTATCAGTTAATATTGCTTGTAGATAATTATAAGCATATCCTACAAATTGTAGCAACAACTGACATGTCTAGAGATGTCTATGGATAAACATTGGATGCATAGAATTAGGTACCATCTGTTTTTCAGAAATTTACTAGATGTCTTGGAATATATTACTAAAGTTCCCAAATCCATTCATTCAGGATGAAGATATAGATTTTAAGAAGCCAAACTTGGATAATAATCGTGTTAAGTATTCATCTTATTTCTTAGCTAATAAGAAACTGCTTTCTTATCACATTTTGTATTTGTTCAATTCAGTCAAATATTTGCATTTTTGTTTTTTTTTTTAAATAAAAAATTTCAGATGTGTCTCCTTTCAGAACAATACTGATTTGATTTGTTTTCTATGGCTTATCAACCCTTTGCAGATTATTTAAAGCTGGATTATATTTTTAGAATATTAAGAATTTTTTTTTTTTTGAGATAATGATTTAGTGATAAAAGTTTTACTAATTAATCCACAGCTGGGGGCAGTGAGAAGAGCTGGATTCATACCATTCCCAAGGGTATTTGCATGTAAGTGAATATAATGAACCCAACTGGGATTGAAACGTCACTCTCTGATTAACAATTCCAAGACATTATCCATTACACTACCTACATATACAAGCTTACAGCATCTAATATTCCAAAGTAAGAACAATATTAAAGAAATAGCAAACAAGAATAATCATCTAAAGAGAAAAGCATTTTTTTCAATTAATAATTTACAAATAATACTATTTTCCCAACTCTGGTTGTAGGAAATTACTTGTATTGATGATGCTAGAGAAGACAAGTGACAGTTGAAAAAAAATCCTCACATGAAATGATAAAGGTTGATAATCTAATATACAATGTGCATTTTTACCAAATAACAGAAACCATATCACTTGAGGACTACCAACAGCTGCAACAACTAAAATGGATATCACATGTAACACAAAGAGAAAATAATGACATAATCAAAATGTTGACATTCCACACTACTTCAAACAAACTGTTAAGAAGGAAGCTCCCATCAATACTGGAAAGAGCAATAATTGCTATTGAACTTAAGAAACCTATTTTCTTGAAAAATTGTTTTAAGAGAAAGATTTTATAAATTTCAACTGAAATGAGTACAAGCTGCTTGATCAATAAATGCTGAATATAAGGAAATAGCTATTATTATCATTATGAAAGAAATGTAACATCTCACAATTGTTACTAGATTACAAACTAAAGAGATGCCACCATGATGTCATGAAAGAGGTGGTGTTAGTATCAACACTTTAGAAGCTGGAAATAACTTTGAATTGTGTACAACCACACTGTGAATTACTTTGGTCACAGTTTAACATCTAGATGTTGTGTTTCTTCAGGATGTAGGTGGTCATAGCTCTTCATAATTTCATGTCCTAAGTAAATTTTGTCTTTAAACCTATTTCCCCAGAGAAAAAAAAGTTTGGGAACCAATCACTTAGAGTAATGGTAGCATTGCAATGATAATATTAACTGTTTCCTTATAAGGAAACATTTGGCATTCATTAACCAAGCAGGCAGTACTACTGTTTGTTGAAATTTATAAAATCTCTCTTAAAAATATTTTTTCAAGGAAATGCAAGTGCAGTAGCTGTTATTGTTCTTTCCAGTACTAATCGGGGTTCGCAGTACCTTTCATCATCAATACTGACCTTGAGACCACACAGAATGAATCACTTTTCAAAATGATCTGCAAAGTCCTATTTCAGGATAATTATCAGTCTTGTTGCATTCTTCTTAATTTAATTTGTGGCAATGGTAATTTTAGCTTAAGGAAAAAGGTTAGAAATTGCAAGGAGCCAAATATAAACTGGAGAGTCTTCCAGTTATGGGTGATGTTATATTTTACTAAAAAAGGAAAACAAAAAAATAACTCTGCTGGAAATGCGAACAATTTACTCTATGTTATTGTTAATGCAATGATCACACAGTATACAAGCTCATACACTGCTGGCTTAATGATCCTATTGCACAGTACATTTATACATGCACAGTAAGGTCCTCTCAATTGGTTGCCAAATTATATCAAGGTTGCACAGCCGGTTCTTGAGATATTCAAAATGGCTATGTAGGTTCCAGGCAGATCTTGTGTGTGTGTGTGTGTGTGTGTGTGTGTGTGTGTGTGTGTGATATACAAACCTTGATAGCAGTTGACAAACAGAGCTAAAGATAGAAAGGTCTGCTCTTATGGTATAAAAATGGGGTGGGGTGGGAATATGAGAGAAGGCTTGATTGCACTTAATGATTACTGGAATTAAATGTGCAAAAAGAACTAATTAACAGAGTTAATTAGTTTTGAGAAATTGGATGGGCCGAGGTTGAATTTGGATATTAATTTAGAGATAACTTAGTGTCACTTATGGTCATGTTACTTGGTACAATCACTAAATTGGACAAAATGATGACATTACTATAAGTTACTTCCTTAGCTAAAAAATTGTTTATATACAAACCAAGCTACTGAATTGGCACAGTTTCCCAGACAGAATAATCTTGGAGAAAGAGTCTTTCTGAAAAACACAGCCTCGCTAGCTAACTGGCTATGTGATTCCTTTATATAAAGATATTTGCCAGTGGTTTCATAGGAAAAATAGATTTTTAGGAATTAGTTTATCAGAAGTCAAATGGTAAGCTGACCATATAATTTCTGGAACAAAGGTGACACTTAGGGAATGTAAATTAATGGTCCATTCATACCAATGCATCACTGGTAATAAACCAGCAGGCTTAGATACACATATACAAGTGTGCAATATACTGGAGTTATTTTTGCAGGGCCTGGTAGAAAAGAGATATATATGATATATAAGTGGAACATAATTCCAGAGAGACATGAAAAGGACAGAATTTAGTGCAAGCTGTAAAAACAGACCACCAGATTACCATCCCAACCTTTAAAAAGGAGAACATGCAAACAGACACATACAAGTGTTATTCTATTATCATAGTTGTAAATTACAAGTTTGGTACTGAAACTACTGCAAATAAAATTGGGGAAATAAAATTGCTAATTAAGTAATCAACAGTTGAAACTATGCTTTATAAAGTCTTTTGTTAATGAATGAATCATTTTGGTCTTAGAGAAGACAATCCTTCATCAAATCTTATAGAGCAGTGTTTTCCAAATTTGTTTTTACTGTAACCCACAGCAGGAACCACAATTTGCACTGTGACCCATTATGCCTATGTGTAATAAATCAAAGTTTGATAATTGATCCCATTCTTTTTTCAATGATTCTAAGAGCTGTTTTTCTTTTTTTCACTCTTCTGTCAAGTTCACTCCATGGTAATTCTGTGGGTTGCTTCAAACTTTTGAAGTGTATTTTATATATATATAAAATATAATATACGGTGGAGTAATGGATAGCGGCTTGGATTGAGGAATCGCAGAGCTGAGTTCGAATTCCAGTTGAATCCATTACATTCACTTACGTGCTAATACCCTTGGGAAAGGTATGAATCCTATTCTTCTCCCTCCAGCTATGGGTAAAATAGCAGGACAGACTGGGTTCTATAGCCTTGGATGGCAACTTGTCTAGGAGAAGGATAACTCTGAATTCAAAACCTATGGAGGTTCGTTTGGGAACCTTGTGGCACTTGGTGCACCAGGTCTCTGTATTTGTCCCTTCAAAAAGTGTGGATGGTCCTGCACGAAGCCTTCACCACTATAATCAAATCTCGTGCCGGTGTCGGGCTGTCGGTTTCCTGGAAACTGATCTGCTTGACCCTCATACGTTGAATCTCGATGGGAGAATCGACTATATATATATATATATATATATATATATATATATATATAGATAAAATAAAAACAGATTGGATAAAGAACAAATAGGTAACAGATCTTAATCTAAAATGTTTCATTTTATTAAGGCTTCATCAGAGAATAAGATAGAAATGATTTTATATGTATGTGTATGTGTATATATATATATATAAATAAAAGGATAGTTGTTTTTTTGGGTGGGTGGGTGGCCCTTTTCCAATAAAATATCTTTCAGCCTACCCCTTTTTGTTTTCTTTGTCTTGTTTTTATGCTAATTTTTTTATTTTTCCTGGTGGCTGTTTTTTCCAATAAAATGTTGTTTGGGCCAACCCTCTTTAGCCAGAGTTATCCTGATGATCTGTTAGGTAAAATCTAGGTAGGTAGGTTCTGGCTCACTAGGTCTTAGGGAAATTAAATAAAAAATTTTTTAAAAGTTATATCTTTAATTATATTAACATATAAATTAATTTTTATTGCATCCAAAACTTTGCACAAACATGAACAAAGCATAAGATATTTTTTTTTTATCTGTAACTTACATGAAATTTACTCACCTGTTTAAATTCTTTCATTGAGTTAGTCCATGTCCACAAGTGTGCTTTGTAATTTCCCTTACGGACTGCCATCAATTCATTTCCTCGATAGAAAAAAATGGGCCTAATAATGAAAATAAATTTTTCCGTTATTTTCACTCAGGTCGGATAAATCATTAGATACAGAAAAAAGTTAAAATTTGCACAAGTACCATTAAAAGTCAAATACTTACAGACATTGACAAAAAAATGCTGCCTGAAACAGTTTTTATTTCCAAAGTTCTTCAGTTCTTTTACTTTTTGCTGCTTTTATTGTGTTTTAACCGATCCATTCAGCAGTTTTGCTCAACCATTAAAAGAAACCATCAGGAAAGAATGAAGTTACTTTTTACAGAAATGCTATCGAACCAAAAATAATGGTGGTGTTTAGCATATCAACACCTCTATGGGTCATTTAATGCAGAGGTCTAAATATTCTGAACACAGCTTTATTGCTTCAACTAAATATATTTTGAACACAATTGTATGCCTTCAACTACAGATAAAATGTTTTGTTGGTCATTTTACTATAAATATGGAATATAGGTAATTTTTTTATATAAAAATTTATTGCTGGTATTTTTACTATAAAAATGTATTTTTATACTTTCATAGTGTATAGGCAGTTTCACCATTTGACCATAGCTGAGACCCTAAGAGATGTTGCCACCCTGGGTCAGGGTGGACCTGGAAACAACAAAAATTAAGAAGTGATTCCATGCTCCTGCAATTGATGTCGAATGTAGTTTATTGTTATACAATGCAATGCAGGCAGTTCCATTCTCAGCAATATGCATAACACAGGTTATTTCGATAAACATGCAATCAATTTACAAATTCATGAATTATTCACACAAAAACAAATGCAAAGGTTAATGATTTAATTGGCGAGAAATCCATCATCGCAAACAATTCAAATAATATACAAAAACCTCCGAACCCGTTATGAATGAAAAGATCCTTGTTTCTATAAATTTCTGCACGTTTATCGAAATTAAAATAACTGATCCAAGTGCGACATTACTGTAATTATTGAACAATATAGTTCATGCCACTTTGACAGAAAATTTACCAGTAAAAAATTCGTTTATCACCATATTTGTACATGAACGCACAACTGTAAAAATTTAAAATCAAACTCAGCGTTGCTACTGCACGCTCCAAAAACAATAACTCATTTCCAATAGCATTTTCGGATACAACAATACATATATTTTCGTTGTCCTCTTATTACTAAGAGAAAAAACAAGAACAACATCTATTCCATACCTGAAGATGTCTGTAGGAACAGATGAAAGCTTGTAGTAAAAATAAGAACTAATGCAGCAGAAATTTATAGAAGCAAGGATCTTTTCATTCATAACGGGTTTGGAGGTTTTTGTATATTATTTGAATTGTTTGCGATGATGGATTTCTCACCAATTAAATCATTAACCTTTGCATTTGTTTTTGTGTGAATAATTCATGAACACAGGTTATGCAGATGTATATTAAATTCTGTGAGATTCCCTGCTAAGCTAAAGAATCCCCAAACGACTGATATAAATTTGTTAAGCATATGTATGCTGCTTCCTTTAATTTTTTTTGGTATTTTCTTTTAATGCTTCGTGTAATGCGTATGTTGCTTAGTGCCATGAATTGCTATGTGATATCCATCCTCTTATATGGCAGTGAATACTGGACAATCTCTCCATGGATGGAAAAAAAAACAACAACAACAAAAAAAACAGGAAGCAATGGAAATGTAGATACTGTGAATTCTATAGCTGGAGTGACTAAACAAGAAAGAAACAAAATGAAAATTTACACTCAGAATCAGAAAAGGAATAGCTGAAATTTCTTGGACACAGTGAGGAAGGAGGGTTTAGAAAACTTAAGCCTCACAGGGCATTCAGAAGGCAGCATGCCATTTATCTGACTAGCTTGTGTGAATGGATGGTAGAATGAGATGGTGGGGGTGCAACAGCAGATAGAGAAAAACTGCAAAGAACCACAAGAGATAGGAAGTTTTGGAGAGCCATGATAATCCATGTACTGAAGGGATGCAGCAGATAGAAGAAGTAATGTTTCCTATCTATTTGATTTGGACCTCATCCCAAAGAGATAAACAGGATTGTCCTTTTGGATATCTTGTTATGAGACTTTTCTAGTTTGACACAAAATTTCATGAATTTTATTAATCTTGATACACATTAAATTTAGATTCTTTTTTAAATTTAAAAATTGGAGAAGGATTTTATAAAACATGCAATCATTTTCAAAATAATCATTCTAATTTTCATCATAAAATGTGAACAAAGACATTTACTTTAAGTCAGTGTTTCTCAATCCTTTTAAGCAATGGCACACCTTGGAGCAAATGAAAATATCACAGCACATTTAGCCAAATTTTTAAAGATTATTCTAAAAAAAAAAAATGAATATTAAAGCAAATATTTAAAATAACATAATTGAAGAGTAATGAAAAGAAATATTTGAAAAAAAAGTTGAATACTTATTCATTTATTCAAATACTAATGCTGTACCATCACTACTTCCACACATATATAATTTTACTCCTTGCTTTATTATATTCAGGATGATAAAAAGAAGAGACAACAAACCCTTTTTCACTCACTCAGAAACAGGATGTCGTAGGTAGCAGATATGTCCAGTTTTCTTGTCTGGGGAGATTTAGTAACCAGACAAACCAACGAGTTAATTTCAAACAACTCATGAGGATATAAACACACTACGGTTAAATACATAAATGTTTCCCTATCTTTTTCTAATTATTTGTATTTTTTTTTAAAATCATTTCATCACAAGCAAGGTGAAAATACCACTAAGACACAATGGGTTCAGGCACCTAGAGGTGGTGTAATGTTTACCAAGCTTGTCTTGCTAGAACAATTACGACTGAGTAGTGAGTTTGATCCTCACTGGGTGCCTCTTTCTTTCAACCTTGTGCCACATCTAAGCTACGCTTGGAAAATCACTAAGACACAATGGGTTACTGGGATTAAAAGATAATGATAAGACTTTAGGAGAACCAAAAACCTAATCCTAAACAGGAAACAAGGAATGAATAAATCTCTATTAATATTCAAAATAAATATAATTTTATCTTTCTCTTCATTTGTGAACTATGTTGTTCATTACAAAATAATATACTATTCAGTAAATTAAGTTCAAATGACTTATCTGGTTAGAGAACTCAAGAATTTCACATCTAAATGTTTGATAAGTTGTTATTATTATTATTACAGGTTGAGTATCTTTTATCCGAAATTCCAAAATCTGAAAACCTCCAAAATCTCAAAGTTTTTCAGTTTCTGCCACGACTTGCCATAAATGGAAAATTTCAGAATGCACTGGGAAAGTTCCTAGATAATACGCAGTTGCTGTAAGTGACCTCATTTGTTCTGGTAGGGGATTCCCCACTCAGCTACATAATCTAGATTGGCACTGTTTTTTTGTTAGTGATTGTTACAGCAAGACTATTGTTTGTGGATTACTTTCCAGGTGTTTTGTGTTCAGAAGGGATGTTATTAAAAATGTCAAAAAGTCCTGCAGATACCCATATGGGTAGTGAAAAGAAAAAAAGAGAGCATTTATATTTATTAATATCTTGCATGGGCACACATCAATCCCTGTCACAATGCAGATACACAGAAACGCATAAATTTCCATCACAATGCAGACGCACAGACACACATCAATTTCTGCCACAATGTAGATGCACAGACATGCATCAATTTCCATCACAGTGCAGATGCAGGAACACACATAAATCCCCATCACAATACAGATGCACAGACACACATCAACCACCGTCTGAATACAGATGCATGGGCACACATCAATCTCTGTCACAATATAGACACACAGACACATTTCAAACTCCATTGCAATGCAGACACTCAGACATGTATCAATATTTATCTCAAAGACATTGATTCTTGAAAAATGTGAAGAATTAAAAAGCCTGAAATGATTACAAGAAGAATAATGCACAAAATATAATTGAAAAATTACCTGTCTATGATACGAGAATTTACAAGAGTTGGTTTCAGACTGATTCCGTCAATGATGCGATCTTTTGGAAGTGCAATGTGAGCAAAATCTAAGACTGTAGAGAACAAATCCATTAGATTTCCAAGTTGATGAGACACCTGAAAAAAAAAAATGAATGATCAATAATACAATTTTAAAAGAAAATACAAATAATTCTCTTCCATATGTTGGCTCAAAAAGTCCCAAAATTCTGCTGCCAGCCACATAATGGTACATAGGAGAGACCTAACTGACAGTACAATATATAGATGTATCTAATATTTATAATAAATGCACATTTTTTTTTATTCCATTAATCTGTATTACTTACTTAAAAGAAAAAAAGCACACCATACTGCAGTGTTTTGTCTTTTATTGGCTGAGATATGAAAATATACAGTACCTCATAAACCAGCTTCCCCACCAAAATTATGCATAGTTTTATATATATATATATATATATATATATATATGAGCCAAGTCAACATACATGAAAATTTACATAAAAATTTTAAATAAATTAATGAACAAAATATGTAGAAATAAATAATAATTACATAAAAAAGAATCAATAAAAACATTATCTCACATCTCACGTTTGTTCAATAGTCCAAAAAATTAGGTCATGTATTTTAAAGATTTTTCATATTTTATTTTAAGCTTGTATAATTTTTATTTTTTATTTTACCTAAAACTGTTCCACGTGTGTAATGAATGGTTATAAAAATTTTTTTATTTTATTGAAATATTTGAAATTACTGAAAATAACACTAAAATGAAATTATAATTGTTTAGGTGAACTAAAACTTGTGAAAAACCATGTGATATCTAATCATGATGGCAAAATTAGTTTAATGAATTTAACAAAAGTTATATAAACTATATAGTCATATGACAGAAGTTATATAAAGATTGGGAGTAGAGGGGAAAGGCTGAAAATTTGGCCTTGTCAAAATATTCAGCATATGTATAGTGAAATGGATAAGAAGGAATTAGATAAAACACAAATACAAAATTGTTTATTTGACTGATTTGTTCTTTAAAACTTACCAACCTTTTAAATGTTATTTAAAGCCAGAAAATATTTTGGGATTATAAGAATTTTTGGAGATAATAAGGATTTACTTATACAAGTTCTACTAATTAATTAACTGCTGCAGGGAGAAGAGACAGATTCATACCTTTCTCAAGGGTATTTGTGCATGTGAATATAAGAAACTGGAAAGAATTGTAACTCTGTTTCCAGTTAACAATTCTGAGCCATTATCTATTACACCACCCATACATCCAAGTTTACATCACCTGGTATTTCCCAAGTAGTCACCCATTTAGGTACTGACCAGGCTTGATGTTGTTTAACTTCAATGATCATATGAGAATTGGTGTTTCAATGTGATATGGCCATAAGCCACAATATTTTTATATTCAAGAAATTCTTGAAATGATTTAACAATTTTTCTTCTTGTTTTTTCAGGCAAGTTTTCTTTATTTGAAGAAAATTTTCCTTTGGTCAGAAATAGACAAAAACATTTCTTAATGACTTCTTTTCTTAATTTATTTATGCAGTCTTTCCTATCAAACCTTGAAATGAAAATTATCCTGAATGGCCACTCATCTTTCGTATAATTAATGCGGGTGTGTCCCCAATGCTTTTATCTTTGCTCCTACTTTGTTTTAAATTTTCATTAACAACCATCTAAACAGAATCAGCTATCAACTTGGTATCTACACTGATGACACAACCATTTACTCTTGTCTTAATAGTAAGGCTGATCAGTTCAATAAGGTCAAAATGGCAGTCAATATCCAAAATGACCTTGAGTCCGTTGCGAACTGGGGCAAAAGATGGCGTGTTAATTTTAATAAGTCTAAAACTAAATTTCTCTTCATTATTCATCTGAAAGACATTTCTCCGCCTTCCATCAGCATGGCTGATGCTAACCTCTTGGAAAGTGACTTGTTAAACCTTCTCAGGTCAACTTTCTCAGCTGACAAAGTGGAAAGACTATATTGAATCCATTGCTATGTCAGCTGCTAAAAAAGTTGGTTCACTCTGTTGTACAAGACAATTTTTCTCTCCAGAATCTAGCATAGTTATCTATATAAGTCTACCATGCTTAGAATATTGCTGACACATATGGTCCAGTGCCCCTGCTATTTATCTTAAGCACCTTGATAAAATTCAAAGAAGAATTTGCAATATTATTGGCAGCTTGGCTTCAGTCACTTTCCCACCAACGTAAGGCTGTATCCCTGTGTCTTTTCTATAAATACTTTCATAGTAATTGTTCAAATGAGCTCTTTGTTATGGTACCAAAACTTTTTGAGTTTAAGCTCAGTACTAGACTGGTATCGAAATCTCATCAATTTACAGTTGAGATGGCTAGATGTAGCTGTAAATTCTATGTTAACAGTTTCTTTTCTCACACTTCTCGCTTGTGGAACTCTTCTAGCTCCATGCTTTCCAACCAACTTTAATCTGCAAAAATTTAAATGCAATGTCAATCGCTATCTACTGTCCACCTGATTACTCTTTTCTCTTTCCACTCATTAGAAATGTTTCTGTTCCTAATTCTTCCACAACCAGTAACTCCTTGTGTCATGGTGGATTTAATGCCTTGTTCAGCGTGAAATCAATTAAGAAAAAAACAAGATCCAGTATTAAACATAATACTGACAAATCTTTGTAAGTATTATGTTTAACAGAAAAATGCTAGGCTCAATTCTAAACTTTTACTGGAAGTGTATCAAATTTTTAATAACTATACATGCCTAAAAGCTGAAACTTTGCAGATTAATAATTTGACATGTTTTAAATACTTTGTAAATTTTATCTTTCTCTTGTAAATTATAATTAAATTTTAAGTTTAAATTTTAAGCAACAACCTGATGATCACCCCACCAGTCATCTATCAGTCTGATCCACCATTTGCAGACAATCTTGTGGCAGACGATACAGCCACTGAATGGATATAATCCTCAATTTGGCACTGGATGATGTTCCAATGCTCTGCCAAAACCTTGAGAGTTAGAGGGGCAAAGTACTTCTTGTGGGCTCAACACCTTCATGGTATGAGACACAGCAGCAGAAGCCACCCACTCAGTATTTCTTTGTTTAGTGGCATATCAACTCATTATGGGTCATTTAATGCCGAAATTAAATTTTCTTGGGAGCATTAGTAATTTATTTAACAAATGTATTGCTGGTATTTTTACTACAAAATTTTTTATACTTTCATTGTGTTTTGACCCCAGTTTGGGGGTTAGCTATTTGTCCATAGCTGGGACAGGGTGGAACTGGGAACAACGGTAATTAACAGGTGGTTCCACGCTCCTCAAAACCTCTTGATCAGAGGTCTTGCTGCTGGATGTAGTTTATTGTCATACCCAGGATAGCCCACTCATTATTTGATATCAAATTTTATTAGTAATTTTCAATAAAACAAGGTATTTATTTTGCCTGAAATGGATTAATAAAATAACATATAGAATAATGTGTCTGCTATAATTTAAATTGGTCTAATTTGTTTCTTTTTCTAAATTTTAATTTGTAAGGTTTTTAAAATTTTTGCTCACAAATGCTACAATCCCATTCAGTGAAACTTTTTCAGAGGAGGGATTTTGATGAATCTAAAGTAATTGAATTTGCTCTAACATGACGGAAACAGCAATTAGAAAGTATATTTTAAACATCTGCGACTACTCCACTCCCCTCATAGGAATTCTACTAAATTAAGCATGTCTATGTTCATACCTATGGCATGGTCTGCCCCAGCACCAATGCTAGGAATATATTTATTATAAATCAATGAAAATATGTAAATGCCAAGTGCACCCATCTTGGACAATGTAATGTCTCTATAAAGCATGAAGCATTTGAATCATCTGTCAAGTTTTAATTTTATGTTATGACTGCAGTTGTTCAAGTTAATGTAGGCAAAATGGCAGTGGCAGAGGATTGAATACTAGCAGTGAAATGCACCAAGGACCATCTCTCTCTTTCTCTCTCATAAATCTTGCACAGCAATTCTAAACTAAATCTATTGATTCATACTCACTCTACTAGGGGCAATGGTCTTGGGCCACCAAGCAATAGTTGGTTCTCTCATTCCCCCTTCAAATGTTGTCTGTTTGCCGCACAAAAACGGTCCATTGCTTCCACCTGGAAATAAAGAATATGTTTCTGAAAATCAAAGTATAGAGCAATTTATAGCACTAGTTCATTTAAACAGTGTCACTTTGTTGAGGCTTAGCCTACTGGCAATTCTTAAGTTTGTATTAAAGGTAGTAATATTAGTAAATCTACTAATACAAGATTACCAGCAAAACTATAAAATCAAATTCCAGGTTATTCAAAGTTTATTCTGGCCAATAAGTAGATTTTCTCAAGGTTAAATTTTGCTTTTTTTGATCCAACAAGTTATAATTTTAGTGATAAACCCTGAAACCAATCTCTGATCCAGAGTCAAAATATCAAAAGTATAAGGAAATGTAAGGATAAAAAGTCCAGATATAAAGATAAAATTAACATAATAATTTAATGTTCAGTTTCATGATAACTTGCATTCAGAAGAATAAAAGATTCAACCTTGAAGCAATTTGAAATTGGTACTAATATGTTGACATTTTCAAGCTTTTCAAAACTCTTTTTATTTCATTTTTTCAGAAATTCAAAGCTTTTCTAGGTTCATGTTATACATTCCAGATTATTCAATATTTTTAAAAAAGGAACAATTAAAAAAGGAAAAGAAAAAAATCAGCATAAAATAAAAGAAAAATTACAGTTTATATGGACACAAATATGGTGTTGTATAAATTCATCTGTTGAGTAGATTTTAAGAATTTATCTTTTCTATAAAATCAAAGTTTATCCATGCTGTTAAAAAAAAAAAAAATCACTATTTTGTAATTGTATTGTACGTATGAAATGTCTAAAACTTCCTTTACATTATAATAAGTACTTCTTAAACTTTAAAGAAATAATCTTGTCTATTGAATAATTATGATTTCCGTGTCACCAGAAGATTAAATGATTTGTTTTCTTTGGGTTATCAAGCCAATTACAGGTTATTTAAAGCCAGAAAATATTTTTAGATTGTAATAAATTATTTTTTTTTTTAAATAATAAAGGTTTTCTTACTAATCAACTCATAGCTGGGAGGGAAGAGGTAAATTCATAGCTTTCCAAAAGGTATTAGCATTTAAGTGAATATAATGAACCAAATGGGAATTTGAACTTGGCTCTCCGATTAACAATCCAAGCTATTATCCATTACACCACTGGCACCTCCAAACTTACAGTCCTTGGTATTCCCAAGTGGTTACTCATCTAGATACTGACCAGGGTCAACATTGCTTAACTTCAATGATCATACTAAAACTGGTGTTTCTTATGTGATGTGGCCATAAGTCTGTCACCAGAAGTGTTTACTACAATTTGCAAATCTCTACTAACTTAAAATTTCCTGGTGATGTAGGAAAGTGTTACAAAAATCTATAAAAAAAATCTATATGTATATTAATAAATATTTTTAAGACTATATACCCAAAAGCATATTTAAAAGCATATTTTTTAAGACTATATACCCAAAAGCATATTTAAAAGCATATTTTTTAAGACTATATACCCAAAAGCATATTTAAAAGCATATTTTTTAAGACTATATACCCAAAAGCATATTTAAAAACAGATTATATACTATATACCCAAAAATAAACTTAAAAAATATATATGATAAAGCCAAACACATATTTAAAAAAAAATTATATACCATATACTGAAAAATGTATTTTAAAAAAATTATGATATACCCACCCAAAAATATTTTTAAAAAAATTGAGTATACACATGCACATGTGTAATCACATCAATATAAACCTCACTTTAGTATGATGAAGTCCTAAAGTTAATGAAAATATTTTTTGCATTTTGTTATGAATTTTTCATGATTTTTTTCAGATGTTAAAATTTTATTGAATGGTTTTAACTGAAAAAGGTAAAAAGTATTCTCTAGTAAAGCTGAAATATCAAAGATCAAAATAAAAATTTATAACACATTGGATAAATTTCTTATATTTCATTTTGTTTCCTATTCATATATAAGAATTAAAAAAAAATGTCAACACTTCAGGAACTTTGTGTATATACATGTACACACACAATCATATATATGTAGTGGCGAGTATGAACATCAATGTCCAGTTCATCAGTTAAACTCGCCCACCACATCACTACAGTCATTTGTTGTGTGAATGACAATGGCTCAGCCATCGATCTGCATTTCTTTTTAAATATTTGGTATAACAAATCATCTCCAGGTGATGGAAGTTGACTGAACATTGTCACTTACAATGTGCCTTTTTTGTATGCCTTGTCAAGCCTGACCTGGACTTGCACACTCTAGTGCAGATTGGGTATTCAAAGCATGTCACTATGAAATCATCACATGCAATAGAACGTTGGTATAATTTCTGGTGACTGAGTAGACCTGACCTGGACAGACATATCAGATTCCATTGGGCACATGGCCAGATTGACACCTCATGGCAATTCAGGAATCCCTTCCAAACCCCTCTCTTCAGTTTTGCATATTTTTGTGATGCCCCATGGAAGATCTTGATGCCATCAGCAATACCAGCTCACCAAGAAACCTGGTCTTCAGCTACGGTCTCCCAGTTATCCAGAACAATATTGCACTTGTATAGTGACTCTTTAAGGCAATCTTTGTAACAAAGTTTCAGCTTATGCTGTGGTTTGTTTTGCATTTCCAATTCTCTATGCAATAATTGTTTTGGAATTCTGTCATCCACCATATGGACAACATGGCCCATCCATCCCAATCTGTGCTTGTGTATAAGTGCTTCCAGAGTGAATTGGCCCTTTGTAGAACAACAGTATCAGGGGTGTGAGATATCCAGTGGATTTCAAGCACAGACCGAATGCAGTGTTGATGAAAACACGTTCCAATATCTTCAGATATCTGCAATAGACTACCCATGTCTCACATGAATATAGCAGAGATGACATAATGCAGGCATTATATATTTTAATTTTTGTTTGCTTTTTTATGCCCTTCTGACTCCAGACACAGAACTTGAGCTGCAAATACATTGGAGGCCTTCTTAATCCATAACACTATCTCATCATAAAGAGAGCAGTGGCAGTTGAGGGTGCTACTAAGGCATACAAATTTGACTACCATCAACATAAACTGATTTTTCTATATACTGAATTCCTCGAGCAGGTTGATAAATCACCACTGTTATGTCTAGACAGTCCAAAAACCTTACATGACCTCTTTACAATAAGATCATGCACCTTGACTTAAATGTGTTCCACTGTAACAGAATATGTCAGCAGGAAGGCTGTCAACCACAACAGCCCTGCCCATGTTGAGTCATTTCATGTCACGCAGAACATCACCTAGTGATGGTTGGCTGTCAAGTTCTACCACTAAGGATTTTTGGAGTATTTTCTCAAGAACCTCAGGGTCTACATTTGAAGTCCTATTCAGTAGACCATCAAAGTGTTTCTTCCATTTCTTGACCATGCTATCCATATCTTTGAGGAGATTATTGCCATCCTCCGTCCTGAGAGGAGCAATCTTGGTGGATCTAGGGCTAAATACTTGTTTCATCAAGTAATACATCTGCTTGGCATTATTTGAATTCACTGCATTCTGTATTGCATCTGCTAGCTCTGACCACCATTTTTCCTGCTTAGTTTGAAGAACACATTGAGCTTCTGCAGCTTTAAACTCTTTGAACAGTTTACTGTGTTGTTCTTTGGACAGGCCTTTTTGCAACATTGAACTTAGTATCTGATTCTTTCTTGCAGTGATCTCCTTGATAGCATCATCATTTTCATCAAACCAATCTCAATGTTTTGCTGGCCTTTTACCCAGAACTTCCTCAGCTGCTTTATATATATTCTTCAAAGAGTCCCATGAAGATGTATCATTGACTTCAGTAAGTTGTCATTTTATTGATTCTTGTGTTTCCAGGGAATGAAGTTTTGCAACATTCAGATGTGCAGGAGGTTTTCCATTGTTTTGTCTAGTTACTGGTTTAAGAACAAAATTCATCTTGGCCCTCACGAGGGCATGATCAGTCCAACAATCTGCACCACACATAGATCTAACAATATGGACATCCTGCATCTCTCTCTTGCAGATGATGACATAATCAATGAGATGTCATTGGTGATTGGTGTGAACAGGGATGCATCCTCGTAGTAACATGATCACCCCGGTGCTAGAATTGAGTGCTGGAGATAAAAAGATTAAACTCAGTGCAGAGTTCAAGAAGCATTAAACCATTGGTGGTGATTTTCCTGACACCATATTTCCCCAAACTACTCCAGATCACGCAATCTGCACCAACTCAGGCGTTGAAGTCACCAAGGAGGACAATTTTGTCATCTTTTAGAATCATGTAGAGTATACTTCTCAAAGATACATAGAATTGAGTCTTTAAAATGTTGGTACTGTCCATGGTTGGAGCATAAGCACTAATGATTGCAGCATATCGTGATCCATTTAGATGAAGGCAAAAGGACATTAAATGCTTACTGATTCCTTTAGGAAGTTCAGCAAGTTTTGGTACAAGTGTGCTACGCACTGTAAAACCCACAGGAGCTACTCTATCCTCCTCAGTGCATTTTTCCTTCCAGAAGAAAGGTTTGCCACCTCAAACTTCTTGAAATTGACCATCACCAGGTAAATGAGTTTCTGAGAGAGCAGCTACATCTATAGAATATCTCTCTAGCTCCCTTGTTGTTAACATTCTTTTTTCAATCAGTTTTTCCAGTTACGAGTCCTTTTTTAAAGCTGATCGTTTTGTGTTCATTTTGTTTATTTCCTTTTTTGTAACAGATTTAATGTTCAGTATAGAGCTTAGAAAAAATTCGCAGTGTGAGATAGGCAAGAAGTAAGGCATGTAGCAACATCAGCACAGCAAAGGGCACTCCTTTAAAGGCAAGGAAGGGCAAAAAATTTTTTAAGTCAAGTAATAGCGATTGCTGTATGAGTCGTATGATTTTTGAATCAAGTATGGGCAATGCCGGGCCATGCTGCTAGTTAAGAATAAAGACAAAAGGAAATCTTTAAGTATTAATAAATATTGTGTTATAGAGACAAGTAGGTTTTGTTATAATCTGCCAACTTTCTTTATTTATCATGTAACTCAAGGATGGCTACAGTTGTACAGTTCTTTCTGTGGTTACTAATGGAACAGTTGTTGTGACCTTGTTGGGGCCAGAATATAAAAACACAAAGAGAAGAATTGAGTTAACAAATATATTAACAGAAAAACAGTAATACAATCATATACAAATGAGCAAGAATGTTAAGTCTGACTGTCAGAGCTGACTGCTGGAAACTACATTCTTTAAAAAGCAGTACCTGCTCTTATTTGTAACTGGGAGAGTCCATGGGTAAATTACCATAACAACACTGAAGTATGGATTTAGCATACAAATATTTGAAAGTTCCAAAACTGATTTTTTTTGGTGGGGCAATGCTTCCATTTATCACATAAGTTTAATGCTACATTTGATCATTACTTTGCGCCTGTCAAGTTTGTCCTGACATTAAAACTACTTTTATTTCAATACGGCCTATACAGGCTTATACAGCAAACACAAAATTGCTGCTCCCATAAAAGTGTCACCATGGGCAGACTGCTATCCTCTAGCTATGCTACTGCAATACACTTGATTATTCTTTTGTTTCAAATTGGCAACTCTAATTTCCAAAAAGTATTAACAATATTCTTCTTGTTCACAACCAGTTTTTTTTGTTTTGAGATACTTCTGCCATCTCTTAAGATTAAGACCTGTTTCACATATTAAAACATCACATATTTTTGAATTGTTGTAATGAAACAACAACAAAGAAATTCCAAATGCAGCATGAACTTTTGTTATTTGGATCTGTAAATTGTTCTATGCTGCAAAAATAAAGAAATAATAAACAAGACAAGGGATTCTCTTCCAACTTCCTTGAAGATCAATGGATCTGATATTCACTTTAGAAATAATATAGCACACTGGTAAAAACAGTGACTGAAACAACAAAGGTGACTTTGAATAATTTGTGGTGATTAAGGGAGCACACTGGTTCAAAAATATTGTGATAAAAACTAAGATGAAGATACAAGTTCAAATAATCCATTGAATAATGATGAAATTTCATATCAGATCTCTTGAGAACAGGTTTGTCTTTGCCAGGTGCACAAATATACCAAATATTCTGTTTGGTGAAATGTATAAAATTTCTTCTTTATGCACATACCATGAGATTTTGAAAATGTGGCTGCACCATTATCTGAAGAGAAGAAAACCAAGGTATTTTCTGATACATTTAACGTTTTGAGAAGCATCAAGATTCGCCCAACGCCGTAGTCCAATTCCCGTACAGCATCGCCATAGCTGAAAATGAGAATGAAAATGAGTTTCATAAGTGTTTATATGGAGTGCAGTTTAGTAACTTATATAAAATGATAATGACAAATATCAAAATCTGATAAAAGGAGGGAAGGGGGGAAAATACAATTGAAACAAATCAGTTTTTGTTTAACTTGAATCTTTTGTTGGTTTTGTTCAATGATTTTTCATACAGAGATATTTTGGTATATTATTTTTGTATAAACTATGAGATTATTTATAGTGAGTAGAGATTGAGAAACCAATGAAAAAAAAAGAGAAATTCAGAATAAAAGAAAGAATTCTGAATTGAGAACTCAAGCCTCTCATGCATTTATATACTGAAAAAGAGAAAAGAGTAAGAAGGGTAAGAGGAAAATAGAAAAGGGAAGAGGAAAAATAGAGAAAAAGAAAAAGAGAAAAGGAATAAGAGAAAGAAGAGAAGAAAGAAAAAAGAAAATAAGGAAAAAGGGAGAAAAAGATAAAAAGGAAGAGAGAAAATGGAAAATGAGAAAAAGAAAATGTAAAAAGAAAAATCATGCAAAAGTAAAGAATTATCCCTACTATTTAGTTTCATGCTGTGATTGTCACAGTACGAAATTGAACAAATGTTTCAAATTTTCCATCTACACTTCAACAAATACATTGCTTCTCAACACTTTTACTACCAAAGCAATTTACATATTTCACAAAAAGAAATGAACACATATTTGCAATTAAAAACATTTCTATCAAACTCATTTGTCTAGCATTCATTTTCTTCACTTTGTTAGTATTTTACTTTAGCTCCATCTTTATATTGTCTAAACAACTATCCTCTTTTATGTTTTAAAATATCTAAGGAGGAATGTTTTTGAGAATTTGATAACAATAACAACAAAATGTTGAATACCAAAGTTGAAAGCAATCAATTACAGTATAAAACATCATTATTCTACACTGCACACTTTAACAAGATACGCTACACAAATGTCAATGTGTTTATGGCAGATTCATAATGGAAACTGAAACAATTATTAGACAAGGTAGTTAAGGAAAGTAAGATGCCACCATTAACTATGACATAGAATGGATGTTTGTTAACAAAAGAGGCAGCCCAAGTTGTGCGTTGCATATACTCGGGGGGGGGGGAGTCAAAATCAAGCTGGTACAGAAATTTAACTATCTGGTTAATGTAGTAACAAATAATGGAAAGTGTGACATAGAAAACCAAAGACACAGACAAATAGTGAAAGAAGACTTTCAGAAACTGAGCAAAGTATTAAAGAATTGAAAACTTTTTGCAATGACAGGCAAAATGGACATGTCCTATTTTGCATAGAATCCAGTGATTATTAATAAATCAGTCATCACTCTGCACAGGGGGAGAACTTCTATGTCAAAGACTAGAAGACATCACAACAATATGGTACCGCTAATAGGATTTCTAACATTATTGGATGAGTCAGACTTTGAGGAAACATGGATTTGTTATTTTGCTGCCTATGTGTGGACCAAGCAGTTAAAACAACACAAAGTTGCAGGAAGGGAGAATGAGGTTATAGATCTTTTTTTTGACTTTGGTTGGATCTGAGGCCATCAGAAAGATCTGTCATGGCATATCCCAGAGAATTGAAGAATTTGACCTTTTCCCAAATTTTGGACATTATAAAGAGACATTTGTGGCAGAAAAAAAAGCTGGTTATTGTTGAGAGGACAAAGTTTCTTGTGAGCAAATGAAATAATAATAATAATACAGTATTGTACACAAGATACATGAGTTTGAAAAACTTGGCACTGAAGAAAATGACTATCGAAGATGAGCAGATACAGTTGAGATTAATTGAAGGTGTGTGTAATGCTTCATACAAACACAAAATTTTAGTACATTTACCACTGACTAAAATGCCTTTGAATGTATATAGAATTTCTGCGACAATTAAAGTTAATTGAAAAATTCAATACATTTAAAAGTAATACAGTATATCGAATTACCTTGTGCAATGCAAATACTGTGATAGAAATCATGAATGGGACAAGAAAAAATGTGTCCAGCATTAACAAGTATAATGGAAATGTAAAAGAGAAACCATTTCCGGTCTGTGTGCAAGTATAAAATGAAAATAGAAAGGGTAGAAAATTTAAACCCCTTTCAGGAAAATACAGTTGTATTTGTGATACAAAGACATAAAGAGAAAAAATTAAATTTGATGGTTTAACTTTTCCTATACAAGCGGCTACTGAGAGTAATGTCCCCCTAATCTATATAAATTTCTGGGAAGGAATGGGTGAACCCAAATTAAAGAAAAGTTAGTTTAAACTTAGACAGTTTGAAGGCTCTTTTATCAAAATAATAGGCTGTTTTGAAGGAATTTTTGAGACTGGAACACACTTCAAAATTATTCCCATCATAGTAGTGAAATGTAAAAAAAAAAAAATCATGGACTTGTGGCAATAGATGACTTGAAAGTGGATACAGCCAAATTAATTAATAGTGTGAAGTTGGAAAGTAATGACATGAAGATATTAAAAGGATAATAAAGTGAGCATTCAATTAAAAGGAAATAACCACCCCTCTTTGAGTTTTGCAGACTGCCTATTCACATGCTACTTTTAGTAGTTGCTAAACTAAAGCCAATGGGGGAGCAAGGAATTTTAGAGCATATTCCACCTGGTGGTAGTAAGTGGGTGTCACCCATTGATGTTTTATGAAAACTAGATGGAGATTTCAGGATACGTGGAGATTACAAAATACAAGTAAACTACAAAATATGCTCCAATTAGTTCCCTACTCCTAACATTGAAACTGCTATTCACAATTTGTCAGGAATTAAATACTTTGCTAAAATTGACCTCATATCTGCCAATAACCAGATACCAATAGATGAAAAATTTAAAGAGGTCCCTATGACTAACTCTTCAATAGCTTGCTCAGAAGTGTATGCCTTATGGTATAATAGCAACAAGTGGATAGAATTTATTGGCTCATTCTGACTGAATAAGACCAAGAATTGACGATGAAGAAGTTGAGATGGAAGAGGAGGAAGAACCTAAAAGGGGGGGAATCATGAGTGCTTCTTATGGAGAAAGTGAATATAGTATTAAAGAAACTATGGAGGATAGTTTGCATGAATCTGATATGGAGTTGAAAGATCAGAATGAAGACAAATACAGATCTAGATCTCCAATAAAAAGAGCCAGGTATGTACCTCAACAAAAAAGGATAAGATCTTGTACTATATAAGAAGTCACAGAGCAATGAAGGGCATAAAACCTCTTCATTTCTGGGTGGTATAGTGACATAGGCCAAATGGACTTTCCCTATTTTGCATAGAGTCGAGCAATTACTATTAAGTCAGTTGTCCCTCTGCATAGAGGGAGAACATCTATGTCACAGATTAGAAGACATTACAACACTCCTTAGAAACAAAGAAAAACGTTTTGGATTGCCATATCTCTATTGCAGTGAATGCTTGACATTTTCCTCTCAGGTGATGAAGTGACTTGAAGTAGGAGAGATGTAGTTCTACTGATAAATACTAAGACTAATATAAACAGAACATGTGCAAAACCAGGAAGTTTTAAAGAAAATAACTACAAAAAAAATACTGGTATCAATTATTGGGTTGGTGCATAATTATCAGGCGTTTTAAAATAATATTTATTATGAAAAGGACACATGGCACAGTGGATAAAGGCGTTAGTTAGATCCAGTGACAGGACCCAAAGAGTGTGAGTTCAATACCCGGTTAAGGCAGTGGAGAACTTGGAGAGGGGAATTAACAGGAGATAACTGACAACTGACATCCATTAAACATAGCACGTGGAACTAGATCAGTCTACCCCAGTGAGTGAAATAAAGGGATCAGTTCGACATCCCAACCACCTGAAGAAGGCTGAAGCGTACAACGGCCAAAACATTGTAATAAATATGGCAACAAAGATGAGGACAATACTCCAAATAATGTAAATAATGAAAAAAGAAATATAACAATTCAACAATAACATTTTTAAATGATTATTCTGGAACATGGTTGCCATCTACTTTAATAACTGCTTCCCATTTGCTTGAAAAATGGTTGATTCCATGGGCAAAGAAGTCAAAGTTCTTGGAGACAATCCATGCTTTGCCATCAGCCATCAAGTTATCCAAATTGGCTTTGTTCACCTGCCAATTTTTCAGCGATCAATTGACGTGGTAGTCCATATGTGCTTCAGTGGGAAAATATGGCAGATGTGGAAGCAGTTACCAGCCCTTATTGGCGATACATTCAACAACATAACATTCAAAATGTGGATGCGCATTATCATGGTGGAAGACGATATGGTTCTTTTTGCGCTGTCTTTTTGTTTCGATTGCAGTGTGAAAATGGTCAAAGTTGAGCCAGACAGACATCGCTGTTGATGTTCAATTGCCGCTTTGGTCTGGAATCCACCACTGTTGACGCTTATTATCATCATTCTACCAATAACAAATCCCATTTGAGATGATTTCTCAATTGACAATTCCGCTTCTGTCCCACCAAACACACCACATTGCCTTCATTGCATATTTTTCAGTATTCCTTTTGGTGAAACTACTGGTGAAATGCAGACCTTCATTCTTTTGATGTTTCTCAAGAGAAGCCACGATTCATCCCTAGTGACAAGATTCTTCTGAAATGGAGCTTGCTCATTTCATTGCAGCAAATTAGTAAAAATTCGGAGATGTTCGGCTTTATTGTTATTGGAGAGTACGTGAGGGATCCATCCAGCCAATTTCCATATCTTTCCAAGCTTTTTGAGATGACAAACGATTTGTTGAATGGTCCACATTGAAGTCTTTGGCCAGGATTTGAGTTGTCAAGCTTTCGTCCTCTTCCACGGCTGCTAAAAGTTCCTAGTTATTGAAATCTGATGATCAACCTCTTCCTGGTTATCTTCCAAGCTAGTGTCATCAGATTTGAAATGGGAAAACCATTCTTTTACTGAATGTTCCTTTGACAAAAAGTTTGTTGAGATTGCAAAATGTCTGCATTGCTTCCCCTCCTCTTTTGAAGTGGCAAAGCATAATATGGCAAATATGAGTATGATTATCGACACACATTTTTATTACCTGAAAATAAAATAATATTTTTATTAAAAAAAGTAAATGAAACAAAAATTTTTATTAACAAATAACTTGCCTCCAAAAATGCCTGATAATTATGGACCAACCCAACAGAAAGAAACAGCTGAAATTTGGGCAATATTTCATAAGGAAAAAAGGTTTGGTTAATTTTTTACACTCGCTGGGCACAATGAAAGCAAGAGAAGAAGAGGAAATATTGAGGAACCTACTTAATTTAAATAAATGGATGGCAGAACAAAAAATACAAGATATATAAAGACAAAGCTGCATAGGAAAGAGGCAATAGTTACTTCGAGTAATAAAAGACAGTTACAAGGAACTATAATCACCCAAGTACTGAAAGGACATGGCATATAAAAAACAGTAACTGCCTCATTATGATGCTGCACAATGATCTCCATTTTCAAAATAGCTAAGGGAAGCAACTCTTTATTTTGCACTTCTGAGTGGTAAAGAGAAATACATTGTGTATTTATTAAATTGTGACTGGTCTATTTATCAGTGAATATTTATGTTCTATATTTTTGTACTTCATTGTCTTACTTTTCATTCTCAATACATTTATCATGTAAACAAACAAGAAATTTATGAAATGTAGCCTAGTTCAGTACAAAGCCATAATAGGTGGAATCAGGGCCAGTGCAAGGGTCTTGTGAACCCTGCCTCCCAAATCTATGATGTGGGTCCTTCACTCTACTACATATCAATTTTTGTAAAGTAGTATTCATATAAAATACAAGTTTTATTGTAACCTAATTGTGTGTAATAATGGATCATATGTAATATAGGTAAACAATCCAACTAGAAAAGCTGAAAATAAATACAATGTATCTAAATACAAATTAGAGACATGTCATAACAGATTATTCCATCTTAAATACATCAACAATGTTTTGTGGCAATTTTTAACATCAACTTGTGATTTTTCATATTAAAAAGTTGAATGATTTTAATATATATTTTTGTACAAGTGAAATTAATTTAGTGACCATTTTCACTTGTGAATTTTAAAATTTAAAATGAGCGCTCTTTGTGAGTCAGATTTAACATTTAATATTTCAAATTCTATATTGTGTTAAGGACTCACTTGGATTATACCAATGTATTACTACCTGTGTGTGTGTGTGTGTGTGTATATATATATATATATATATATATATATATATATATATATATCATTCATGCCAGTAGGCAAAAATAAATAAGCATATTGTTTAATAACTAAATGAAGTGTCTACTCAAATATGGGTATCCACTAAAAATAATGTTTAAGTGATAAAATCTGTCAGATTAATAAATAAAAAACCATTACTTCTTTAGAAATTACTATCTTTCACAAGAAATCATGACAATTCACAGATGATAAAATAAAAAAATAAAAGAAAGATGGGAAGGGTCATAATTGTCTATGTCTTGAAGAAACATTAAAAAGGATTACCGAGAGGGAAAGAAAATGAGAGAATGATAAAAGTAAATGATTCAAAGAGACAGAAGATGAGGTCTGATGTAGCACATAAATCTTTGAAGATTATAGTTGACAGGAGGTATGGTGGAGTAACAGATAGTGGCTCAGATTGAGGAATCGGAGAGTCGGGTTCAAATTCCAGTCAAATCCACTACATTCACTTACATGCTAATACCCTTGGGAAAGGTATGAATCCTCTTCTCCTCCTCCCAGCTATTGGTAAATAGTAGAACAGACTAGGTTCTATAGCCTTGGATGGCAACCGGTCTACCACAAAAAGAAATGGCAACCTACTGCAGGAAAAAATCTGCCTCGTCAGTCATGTATCGAAAAATACATGATCGCTGAAGTGTGTATTACACATGGCACATAACTGACTTAATTGACAGGAAAGCAAGAAGCTGAAAGATAGTTCCACAAGTGGGAAGTGCGAGAGAAGAAATTGTTAGCATAGAGCTTACAGTTACATGTAGAAATTTCAAAAGTGAAATTAGGCGACCTAGCTGCCAATCTAGTAGTGTGCTTAAATTTGTGAAGTCAAGGTACCAAAGAGAAAAAGCTCATGAGAACAATTACTGTGAAAATATTTATAGAAGTGGCAGAGGGAAGCTACGTTACGGTGGTAGGAAACATTTGATTAATTGAATTAAATTTTGATATAGCTATCATTGTTCTAGGTGATTTGTTATTAATAGATTTAACCATTTAAAGATTTTATTTAAAAGGAAGTGTATTCTAACTTGCGATAAAATAGTCATTTAATAATATTCAAAAAATAGTTCACTTCTTTTCCAGTTCCATTATTTCATTTTTTTAAAATTAATGGTCTGGAAGCAGACCTTGGCTACATAACACTATATTTACACTATTTATGTTCAAACTATTTTCCTCATCTTTGTTGATGTTATTACAATGTTTCGGTTATTGTGGCTGCTGGCCTTCCTCAGGTGTATATTGATCTGGGTAACCTACAGTTAATTCTCAACTGACTGTTTACTTAATATACAGGGGTAGAGTCTTCTCGCTCCACTGCTCATGTGTAGGGATATCGTCAAGTTCTTATTTTATTTAGTACTGTTCAGCTATTGCTCACCTGTTTCCACTAAGTGCAAGTTCACACTGCCCAACCCAAGGATTGAACTCACAACGACTATGTCACCAAGTTCACAAACTAGTTTTTATCCATAAGGCCATTATCCTATACTTGTGTCTGAGTGGAAATGGGTGAGCAATAACTGAACAGATAATAATAAGAACTTGACAATATCCCTACACATGAGCAATGGAAAGAGAACAGTCCCTTCAACAAATTTAATAAATGAAATGTGATAACAGCAACAAAAATGAAGACAATAGTCTGAATATAGTGTAAATAATGATAACTCATCATTTCAGAAATTCAGACAAAACTTAGCATATCACTTGACATATCTGATTGGCAGAATATCCAGTTAATATTATCTGTCAATCACCAATGTATCCGGTTTAGTAAACTGTTTGAATGTTGCTTTGAAAAGGATATTAAAAATCAAAAAGCTTGATTGGAAATCAGTATTTAGACAGAGACACATTTATGCAAAAATCTTTTGATTAATTTGACTGACCAAAATACCAAACAATAAACTCACATTCCTCGGCGACTTGTTCCAAGAAACTTTGAGGATGCATACACAGGAGCATGTGTTGCATCCACAGCCCAATATAGAAAAAATGGCTTCTGCTTTTTAACTTGTTTTTCAATGAAAACTTCAGCTTCCTAAAAACAGAACAAAAAAAATGAATATTTTTGGAGGGGTCTGACCAACTGAACAAGATGTTCAATGTTCTTAGTTTCTCTCAAAGCAGTTTTCTTGTCTTTGTTGCCTTCATCATTGTGACCTACAGCCTTTCTCAGATGCATCATATTCAGTAAGAATGTCCAGTTAGACATTTCTGAGTATGCCTATCTGCTAACATGGCTAGCTAATCCCTGTTGCAGATGCCTGCTTAGACACATTTCTATTTCTTTGACACCAGCTAATGCTTTATAATGCAGCTATACTGAGCAGAAAGTAGATACAGTTTCTGGGATGATGAGCAGCTGAACAAAGTCAGTGCACTAAAATCCCTGGTCATGATGACTTGTGACTTTGTGATAGCACAACCATCAACAAGTTTTACCTAGCCAAATTCACTCACAAGGCATTAGTCAGCCTGTAGCATGGTTTTTAGTCATAAACACTAGTGAATAAGACAATGGAAGCAGTGTAAATGCTACACCCAAATTATCCAATCAGTAGAACAAGCATAGATATAAACAATATACAGATATTACTAATTAGGAAAAAGCAGATATTACATTTAAAGCTCTGTAAATTCTACTACTTGAATATCCTAGTGAATAAAAATCCTGATTCAATAAAAGTCAGAAATATATATGAACTTAGTGGAGCATTATAAAGAAGAATTGATTGTAATAAGTTCTGAAATTTACTAGGAGATGCATTACATATGATAGGTGTAGGAATGAAATTAAGTTTAGTGAATCAAATAAAATGTTCTTTTTGATATTCCTGGAAGATTATTGACTTGAAAAATGCAATGGTCAAAACATGGTAACAAAGACAAGGAAATTGATTGAAAGAATCAATGTAGAATACAAATGAATAGATATTACATAAAGTAAAAATGGCAAAAAAATGATATTATATTTGATATGTGAGCAATAGTCATTCAGATAAGATTTCTAATCATTACTCTATTGTAGGTGGCCTTTCCTTACCTTAATATACAGTTGTGTTAAATTTGATTCTCCAGTTTTTCGGTTTATGGCAAAGTCTTCATAGTATCTGAAAATAATTAAATATTTGCTATTATTTTTACAAAATAAATATTATTTTGTAAACAACATAGTAACACATTCCGAAATATCAATAAGAAATGTTATTGTCAGGGAGAAAAAAAAAAAAAATGATACTATTGTTATAATGAATACCAGTTGCTTTAGCTGAACCTTGTGTTTTAATTAACTGTTCCCCTCCTCCAACTCAGTAGATTCCAATAATGTAATGTAAATAATTCTTACATGTAGCATTTTTATCTATTTTTCCTTTTAAGTTTATTAATGTTATTTGTTTTCACCTATTAATAGTTGTAAATTTAATAGTATTCAGTTGTCCATATTTCTTAAGAAGAAGCAT